CCCCCAACCCAGGAGACGCCAGTTGCCAAGCCAGGGGGAGGCCCCCTGTGTGCTCCCCAGCAGACCCAAAAGTGGACCGGAAGTGGTTCTGGTCCACTTCCAGGTCTACTGCCGAGTGTGCTGGGGAGCCCCCAGTGCTTCTGTGGGACACTCCATGCACCCCAGCATCACAGCACTCATGAGCCCCTGCTATCTAGAGGTATGTAGAAAAAACATTTAAAGCTATCTCTGAAGTCTCTGAATCTCTCCGAATCGATTTGGAGGGTTCCTGTTTGATTTGGAAAGATTAAAGGGTCCTCTGATTTGATTCGGATTCAGAGATTCAGCCACCGAACCAGGCCAAATCTCCGCTAAATCAAATCAGGGATTGAAGCTTCTCACAGCCCTACTATTTTGTTGCTGAGGACTCAGTCTTGCACAGACTTGCAGGGATCTGTTGACTTAATTATTTTCATAAAATAGAAAAATCAGTTCACTCCCAGCCAGAACAAGTGGTTTTTTTAGAGGTCTCCTATTGAAATCAAAGGCAGAACATCTGCATAAAATTAGTCAGAGAGATTATGAAATACCACGAATGTGTATGTCATGTATATGTGGATCACCACCAACCATATGTCTCCTTCACTGATGCAGCTTCTGCCATCATTGGGATATCACAATTTCTGGGAAAAAATAGTAGATGGAGGAAGACTCAAATTTAACCCAGGAAACACATAAGTGTTATCAGGTCAAGCTTGCTATAATAGGCTATGGTACATGAAGACATCTTTGAGGTGATATGAAGCCTCGGGATGAGTTCAGATTGAGAAATACATTTCTTCTGCCTTTGAAAGACCTGGAATTGCTCACTTGTCTTTAATGTGAGAACTTTGTTGCCATGATCTGTGACTTTGCCACCTCATAGTTAATCCACAACAACTCTCTCCAGCTGGTATTGAACAAACATATCACAAAGAAGCTGAAATTGGTCCAACTGACCTCAGTGTGGCTCACAAATCAAAGCTTCAAATTGTTAACACATCTCACTTATACTTTACAAATTCCATTTTAAATTGGAACGTCAAGTCCTGTTCTTAATTTATTAAAACAGGTTTGGGAATTTGTTGCCTGTTCTTGCTCCAAGTGGGGTTTCTGCCTATTGTATTCAATAGTCACTGTATAAAATGGATAGACAGCAGTGGGGTACCTTGTGTCCCATTGGGACAAGGCCCTGGTCTAGAACTAGGGTTTACTTCATTTCAAGAGTAGTG